TATATATATATACATAAATGATAAAATTTATTACAAAATTCAATAATAACAAAAAACAATATACCGCTTCACGTTGCAGCATCAGTCGGTAACTCAACAACTTTTCTTCTCAAAAATTATTTTCATAGAATGGGATATATTCTCAAAAAATTGGAATCTTCGTTGTTATTGCAATTGTTGCTTCAACCGTTTCAAGTAAAATTCACATTTTTTGCATAAACTGTAGCATCAAAAATCTCAATTATCCTTCAAAAGCACAAAAAACCACTGTTTTTGCATAGCCGACCATCAAATCACGATTCTTCATTCTACGAAGAACGTGATCTCAAATGGATCATAATCTCGCGTCAAAGACGCAACTCTTGTCATTTTGCAATTTCTGCAGATAACTCCTGGCCAATTCAGCAATCTGCGGACGAGACGAGTGCAGTGGCGGAAGTGGGCCAGGATGATGCGTCCTGTGTCTCAAAAGGCTGGAACGTTGCGTGAAATCCTCTTCGCAAACGTCGCACTTGTAAGGCCTGATGCCGGCGTGCGTCAGAACGTGCTGATAAAAATTACTGCTGGATGGGAAGGCTTTCTGGCACAAAACGCAAGTCAGTATCTTCGCCTGGCCATGCTTGTACCTTCTGTGGCTGATCAACTCGCGGGTTCCACGATATTCTTTGCCGCACTCCTCGCACTTGAAACCCTTCTCGTGAAGCCTCAAGTGATTGTCTAGCCTGCTCCTGTGGAGGAACTTCTTGCGACACAGGTGGCAAGTGTACTCGTACCTCGCCTCTTTGCTGCGTTTCTGATGCCTCCACTCGTGGCCCTTCACGTTCTTCACCTCCTTGCCGCAGAATCGGCAAATCTGCAACTCCGATGCGTGCGATCTCTTCATGTGGTAGGTCAGGTCTGTCTTCAGCTTGTAACTACGCCCGCAGAGCTCGCACACGTATTTCGACTCGTAGTCGCCGTGAGTGCGCATGTCGTGCCTCTTCAAGCTGTTCTCGCTCTTGTACTTCACGTGGCAGATCTTGCACTCGAAAAAGTAATCCGGCCGATGGATCACTTTGTGCTCCTCCAGCGTACGAGCCGTGTGATACGCTCTTTTACACATGTCGCATTTGTACGGTTTTCGGTGCACGTACGTCACGTGGTTCTCCACTTTCTTTGCGTCGTCGAAACGCTTCTCACAAAAGGGGCAGGTGTTCTTGATCTTGTCCAGCACGCGATCCACTTCGACTTCGTCTTTCTTTGAACGGGCAGATTCGGTGTCTTCCGTCAGCGAGGACGTTTGAACGCCTGCCTTTAATCTCTTTGATTTTTCTCCTTGAATTCTTCGAAGTGCGTCCTGTGAATTCTCAAAGTTAGCTGAATCGATGGAATCGCCCGGCGATTCGTCCGAGGGATATTTCGACTTGGTGCGACTTTTCAATCTTCTTCTTGATCGTCTATCGACCGCTGTTAAACAGTAAGACGAATTTCTCTCTCGGTTTCTTTGTTGTCCTGGGCTAGGTTCTTCTCTGAAACAAGGATAGTGATACGTCAGTGAGCTAGGATTAGATAAATTATTTGTAATAACAATTGTGTACTAATAAATGTAATAAATGAAAATGTCTACAGAACAAAATGTCTTTAAAATATTTGTAAAAAAATGTTTAAACTTCAATATTGATTCGTGAGGTTCTCTTTTTTTTTTTTTTTTGTTTGACTGGAAAATTATGAAACTTTTGCGATAATGTATATGAAAGCACGACTTGTAAGATATGATATAAATTTTATGTGATTAACATCGGAAATATATTGAAAATATAACTTACTTTTGCGTCGCTTAATGCACACTTTATCGTATAAAAAAACTGCGATATTTAAATGCCGGATGAAACCATCAGATAGTCACTTTCAAATCTCGAAAACACGACAAACAAATTCTTACTATTCATCCAGCTCTGCAAATCGTTTCTAATTTTTCCAATATGTTCAAATAATTCAAAATAGATATCATTTTCTGCAGATTTTATTATAAAAAACAACAAATCTTTGTTTCAAATAAAACGACGATGATTTCCAACCAATAAACAATGCTGAAACATGGCATGCTTTATATAAAATACACATATCTACGATTATTTCTTCTATAATCCATGCTTGTCGTATCCAAATGCGGATCTCCTCTGGATCCAAATTCTTCGTACGATATTGAAATATTTGATTTCATTAAAAGCAGTCTTCGTGACAATTGTTACAGACTTTATCAACTTGATCAACAGCGTAACAAAGCAATAGAATCATCTGATCAATCTAATAATATTCCTGCTTGATATAAAACAAGACTTTCTCTCGCTCTCGAAGCGCTTTTTCCGTCAAATTTCTGTGAAACAAACCCTTGTCTACGACATAATCCACAATTAAGCTGTAACGCGTGTAACTTCATACTTTAAACGTTCGAAAGTTTTTTTTGCAATATGTTCTTCGCGATATTGGCTATCGACGTGATTTCGGTGAACGGTGGAAGAGGCCCAGGATGAGCCTTTCGATGCCTCAAGAGGCTGGATCGCTGCGTGAAATCCTTGCCGCAGATATCGCATTTGTACGGCTTGATGCCAGCGTGAGTGAGCACGTGCTGATAAAAATTGCTCGTACTGAACGATTTCTCGCAGATGGTGCACGTCGCACCGCGTCTATGTTTCGTGCTCTTGTGACTGCCGAGAGAATACGGCGAAGAGAACACCTCGTCGCACAGCGTACACTTGAATCCGTCCTTGTGCATCAGCAGATGATTGTCCAAATTGTTGCGGATTGTGAACTTCTTACGACAAAGGTTGCAATCATATTTGTGAACGATCCTCTTGGCCACCCGGTCGTGCTGCCACTCGTGGTGCGTGATGTTCTTCACGACCTTGCCGCAAATTTTACAGATGTGAGAGACGTTCAGATGCGTCTTCTCGATGTGACCATCGAGATCGATCTTCAACTTGAAACGTTTGCCGCAGTAGTCGCACATGTACTTCAGCTCTATGTTGCTGTGCACTCGAATGTAATGATACTTCAGGCCAATTTTACGCTTGTACTTCAAGTGGCATATCGAACACTGCAGGTACGAGTCGTCCTCGTGAGATATCTTGTGCTCTTGCAGCAGCTTCGATGGATACCATTTGTTACATTTGTCACAGGGATGAACCTTCTCGTGGAATCTACGTATGTGCCTTTGTAACATGATCTTGCTCTTGAACACCCTTTGACACACTGGACAGATAGTTTTCAAGTTTTCTGGTATTCGGTCCGTCTCCTCTTTCTGGATTGCTGGGCCAGGCACTTTCAACGATTCTGTCTCCTTTTGCTCTTCCTTCCTCTGTTCCATTTGGGCATCTGTCAATTCTGTTTTGCACTGCACTTTATTCTCGATTGATGCCAGCTGTACCACCGACTTCTCATTGTCTTCTGGCAATTTCATTTCGCTCTCAGAGTCTTTTGACGTCGTTGGAGTACTCACGTTTTGCACGTTCTTCGCTGGCTGCACTATGTTTAGTATTACCTTGTTGCCTGGTGTTTGATTCAAATTTGACTCTCGCTTGATAGACACCACCACCACCTTTTTCAGATCGTACGATATAAAACCATCTTTATCAGAAATCGGTATCAGAATATTTTTAATCATGTTCAATCCAGAAGCGTCTGCGTTCTCGATTGGCACCAGCGTATTTCTAATCTCGTTTGTCACCGGATCTCTGACTGGAACCAACACCTGTTTCACCGAATCTATCTTCGTATCTTGCTGGATCTTTCCTGATTCAGTCGTACAGTTATTCGTTTCTGTCGACGATGAATCACTGTTAACTGGGTTCAACCAAATGTTATTATTTACAATATCCCCGTTCGAAATTAAATCGACGTTTATTTGATTCCGCGTGGTTAAACGATCGGTTAAACTGTCTGTAACTCTCTTCGATGTGCATGACTCGTTAGAATTTTGTACAATTTTTTTACATTCCCTCGAGCTTCGTACGAAAGCCGGATTAATTTTAAGATTGAGAGGCACTCGACTAACATTTGTCCGGTCCGGGATTCTGCGACAAAATATAACGAGCTGTTGCATCAGGCTCGATGATGGTTTGGCCCTTTCCCTTATCGTCGTATTCCTGAAACATCGATTCACTTAGTCAATCGTA